CAGCCTGTTCTGAACATTTCATACAAATGGAATCATACAATATGCGTGGTCTTATTGTCTGGTTTCTTTCACTTATGCATGATGTTCGCATGGTTCATCCACGGTGTAGCCTGTGTCATCACATCATTCCTTTTTTTAAAAAAATTTATTCATGCATTTTGAGAGAGAGAGAGAGAGAGAGAGAGAGAGAGTGTGTGTGTGTGTGTGTGTGTGTGTGCATGCATGCGCGTGTGAGCAGCGGAGGGGCAGAGGGAGAGGGAGACAGAGAATCCCAAGCAGGCTCTGTACTGACAGTGGGCCTTAAAGCCACGAACTGTGATATCGTGACCTGAGCCAAAATCAAGAGTTGGACACTTAACCAACTGTGCCACCCGGGTACCCCAACACTACATTCCTTTTTATGGCTAATACTCTACTGTATGGATAAGCCACGGTGTATTTATTTGTTGGTGGGTTGTTCCCACTTTTTTGGCTCAAGTGAATGTGAACATTCGTGCTATGCATATGAACAAATGCTATGGACGTTTGTATACAGGTTTGTGTGTGGCCATATATTTTCATTTTTTCTTGGCCATATTCCTAGGAGTAGAATTGTTAGTGGCTCAGTTTAATCTTCTGAGGAATATTTGCCTTTAGTTTTTGGGTTTTTTTGTATGTATTTATTTTTGAGAGAGAGAGAGAGAAGGAGACAGAGACAGAGACAGAGTGTAAACTGGGGAGGTTCAGAGACAGAGGGAGACATAGAATCTGAAACAGGCTCCAGGCTCTGAGCTGCTGGCACAGAGCCCGATGTGGGGCTTTGAACTCATGAACCATGAGATCATGAGCTGAGCCGAAGTTCGATGCTTAACCGAATGAGCCACCTGGGCACCCCACCTTTAGTTTTTGTTTTTTTTTAATGTAAACTCTGCACCCAACGTTAGGCTCAAACTCACACCCCGAGATCAAGACTCACACATTCTACCCCCTGTGCCAGCCAGGTGCCCCTGCCTTTAGTTTTAAGTGCAAATACAGTTCATGGGAATGCAAGCTGGTGCATCCACTCTGGAAAACAGTATGGAGGTTCCACAAAACACTAAACACAGAACAACCCTATGACCCAGCAATGGCACTACGAGGCATTTATCCATGGGATACAGGTGTGCTGTTTCGAAGGGACACATGCACCCCCATGTTTATGGCAGCACTATCAACAACCAAAGTATGGAAAGAGCCCAAATGTCCATCGATGGATGAATGGATAAAGAAGATGGGGTATATATTTATGATGGAGTATTACTCAGCAATCAAAAAGAATGAAATGTTGCCATTTGCAACTACGTGGATGGAATTGGAGGGTATTATGCTAAGTGAAATTAGTCAGAGAAAGACAAATATCAAGGATTTCACTCATACGAGGCCTTTAAGAGACAAAACAGATGAACATAAGGGAAGAGAAGCAAAAATAATATAAAAACAGGGAGGGGGACAAAACAGAAGAGACTCATAAATATGGAGAACAAACAGAGGGTTACTGGAGGGGCTGTGGGGGGGGATGGGCTAAATGGGTAAGGGGCACTAAAGAATCTACTCCTGAAATCATTGTTGTACTGTATGCTAATTTGGATGTAAATTTTAAAAAATAAAAAATAAAAAGTAACATTAAAAAAATACAGTTCAATAATCTCTTTTATTCTTCGATTCCTTTAACAGCAAGTTGGAGATGGAAGTTCCAATTTTGTAAGCAGGGGAACTGGGGCCCAGGGCACTCTAAGGAGAGCAAATAATAATAGCTACCATCTGGGTCAAGTGCCAGCCTGTGCCAAGCACTGTGCAAAGGGACCTAGCTACAGTAAGCCATTCCATCCTTATGAGAGTCCTAGGGGGCTACTATTATGTTTATCCCCACTTCCCGGTCAGAAGATTAAGTGTTCTCAACAAGGCCATGCAGTGGTGTGGCCCAAGACTTGACTCCAGTTTGATCTTACTCAATTTTAGGCTCTCACTGGCCCCCTCTGCTATTGGGTGGACTCTGGAGGGTCAGAGCATCTCTCCTGAGCCTCTAGCATAGTGAGGTTTACCTGCCATCTTCTACTTGACCTGTACCACACAGGATACTCTGGACCACCCTTTGCCCTCCTTTCTCTTTGATCGTCCTCTTAGTGTCCCTGGATTTTCCTCTGGATCCTGCCTACAGCCCCTTCTCTTCCTAATGGCTCTTCCTGCCCACAATTTCCACCCCTTGCACATTGCCAGATGATTTGTAGAAAATGCAGGTCTGGTCATATCACTCAAGATACAATGCTTCACATCCCCCATTACTACGGAAGTGGATAAAGTTCTATTTTCCATAGACTGGTCTATAAGACCCTCCTCATCTTTTCCCACCCACTACTCTCCCTTTTCACACCCTACAATCCAGCCATAAAGAATTGCTTGCATTTCCCCAGAAGCACCTCCATATGTCATTTCTCTGGGACTTTGCATAAGCAACTCTCACTGCTAGGAGTGCCCTTCTAACTTCTTTTACCTGGGGAATTCTTACACATCCTTCAAGTCCTATCTTAAATGTCTATCTCCTCTCTGAAGCTTTCCTCATCTGATTGCTCCCTCCCTGACCTCTCAGAGCACCTTGTTTTGATGTCTTCGATGTCTTCAACACAGACTATTATATTCGTCTCCCCAGCTGGACTATGTGCACTTTGAGAACGGATATTGGGCTTTATTCCATTCTGTATATTTCCAGGCAGAGACCAAAACTTTGCACGGTTGAACAAGCAAATGAATAAATGTTCCATATCTGCACTGTTCAATATGGCATCTACAAGCTACATGTGGCTACTGAGCCCTGGGAATCTAGCTGATCCCAAATGAGATCTGTTTCAAGTCTAAAAACACACTGGATTTCCAATACTTAGGGTTGGGAAAAAACCCATAAAATATCTCATGGATAATTTTTTATACTGACTACTGAAAAATAATATTTTGCACGCATATTGGCTTAAATGAAATATATTAGTAAAATTAACACCACCTGTTTCTTTCTACTTTTAAAAAAAGTTGATTTATTTATTTTGAGAGAGTCAGAGACAGAGTGAGTAGGGGAGGGACAGAGAGAGAGGGAGAGAGAGAATCCCAAGCAGGCTCTGTCCGCACTGTCAGAGCACAGGCCGACATGGGGTTCGAACCCATGAAACTGTGAGGTCACAACCTGAGCTGAAACCAAGAGTAAGATGCTTAACCGACTGAGCCACCCAGGCACCCCACTTTCTACTTTTTTTTTAAATATGGTTAGAACTTTTAGAATTACATATGTGCTTGTTTCTCAGCTTCTTTTGGTATTAACCATTTTCCACATGGCAATCAAAATGATTCCTTAAAATGTCAACTGATCATAAACAGTGGAGTCTCATTATTAGTGGTAGTTATACTCTATGAAGTCACTGTAAACACTGGATTAGCGAGTAGTGAACTACCACTCCTAGGAGAAATACGGGTAGGGTTCCTGCCAGATCCGGTCACATTTGCATTAACCAATCAGTACATAACCATGTTTTATGAATGTTTCTATCTAAAGACATCTTATTTACTCTATGCTGCTGATTCAGTAACACTGAACTAACAGCCAACACCACTATAACATAACCGTAACAGTTTTTCTAACACAGGTATTTTCTCCTGAAGGCACATAACAGCCTTTCTGTGCTTAGGAACACTGGACAGTGCTTTGGGGCTATGCTCAGACACCATTTTAAACAGGAAAATCAACAAAAAGCGCAAGAAGGCAAAAGACGTGATACTAAACATACACAAAGACACGACTTCACGGTATGAGAGCTAAAATAGGGCAGAATGTTGCCTTAACTGACCTCAGCTTGGCCCCTCCACACCAGGCATCTAAAGCTTCTCCCATTCTGCGCACATTATCAGAACTCACAGCACCTCCTCTCAATAAGCATTTGTTGACTAAATAATGGAAGGAAGGTGCACCTTGCTTGGACGGATGCCCTGGTGCCCGGAAGGTGGGAGGGAGCGCTAATTGGGTCCTTCTCTTAGCTTCCGGCTCCTCTTTCGCCGGACACATCTATCCCGGCCCTCCCACGTGTCCAGCCTTCGCCGAAGCGCCTCTGCTCACCCTGACTTCACCAGGGATCGTCACGTGTTGCCAGAAGCCCCGCCCCCGCACTGACCTCATGGCTCCGCCTCTCACCGTGACGCCCTGCTCCAAAGCCTACCCGCCTCCTTCTGACAGACGCGCGACGGCGAGCTGCGGAGGTGGCCGTTCCAGCTGCTGCGGCCGCAGCGGGTGCCGCGGGGTCGGTGAGTCGCCTCGGCCACTGGAGACAGCTTCCCAGGGAGCTTCCCCCAGGAGCAGGGCTGGGCGCTTGCGGCCCCCGGGGGGAGGGGGGATGACCTCGGACCGCGGAGCCCCCAGCCCCCGCCTGCGGCGCCTGCGCGGTGCATGTCGGGCACTGTGGTCTCCCCGGCCCGCGGAGCGCGCCTCAGGCGCACAGACGGACTACATCTCCCAGAGACCTTTGGGCGGGCGGGGGGCGGCGTGCGCGCAAAGCCCCGCGGGGCTGAGGGTCTCGTCCTCCCAGCGCCTGGACCCCGGCCTGTTTTGGCGTTCGCTCGGCCTCGGGCGCCCGGCCTCCCGAGGTAAAGGGTCCCCGGGGGCGGCGCAGCGGGAGCTGATGCGATCCAGAGCGGCCTTCGGGGTTTTGACGTCGCACCGTCGCTGGGTTGGCCGGCTCCCCGCGGGGCTGTGGTTCCAGCTTCGCCAGGCCCGGGCGGGCGCCGGGGCCCGGTGCCCTGGGGGCTGCCGGCCCGCTCTTCGGGGTCCTGCTCGCTCATCACCTCTCGCACATCCCCAGTAGGGAAGGTCGGGGAAATACCGTCTCCGGCTTTCCGCGGCGGTTGTGTCCTCGAGGAAAGGGGGTCGGGGGCAGGGTCCTTGTGACGGAAGCCCCTGCTGAGCTCCTCGGTGACCTTGGCAGGCCCGAGGGGCCCGCGCGCCTCTCCCTCCCCCGCCCGTCCCCGCTCGCCGACGTCTGTAGGTCTCCGCGTCCGCGCCCGGCCGGAGGCAGTGACCTGGCCTGGCTTTGAGCCCGGCTTCGTGCCGTCGAGGACCTCGGTGTAGTTGAACTCTCACAGCTTTTTCTAGCCCGGCTTTGGGCACTTGTTCGTGGGTGTGCGTTTCTGTTTTCCTCTAAATGTTCCCAGGAGGCTTCTCAACAGGTGTCAGGTAAGGAGCTAGCGACTCTGAGTTTCTCCTGTGTGGGTTTGAGATCCTTTGCCTCAGAATCACCAGGGCAGGGCCTTTGTTAAAAGGGTTGGTTCCTGGGGGCAGCCCCCCCTCCCCCGGGTTCTGATTCAGCAGTTATGGGATGTGCCCAGGACTGTTTAATAAGCTCCCCAGCTAATTCTCAGTCACATTTGGGGTTGAGAAGCTTTATCAAAGTGAAGGACGGAGGTCCTGGGGCAGAGCATTTATACCAGGTTTGTATGTAACCTGGTCCCTCCTGCAAGGCGGGCAGTGCCAGGATAAGTGTGACCTCTCTCCTTGGCACTTGGTTTCTTATCTCCGGGCTGACTTAGGAGTGGGGTGGGAGGAGGTGTGCCAGCTCTGCCTTGCCCTCAATTCCCACATTTAATTATGAAGATTTTGAAAGATACCTAAACGTTGAGAGAACTTTACGCTGAATGCCCATAGGCCACCACCTAAAATTTAGAATATTTTATTGGATTTTATCACAAATCTAAGCAACAGGCCACCTTGTTTGTTTATGTATGTCAAAGTCAGTGTGGACATCAGTCTGTGTCCCTCCCAAATAGTTAAACACGTATATAATAGAGTCGTAGAATCTTGCATGTTGTTTTTTAACTAACAGAAGCCCTGGGTGTTGAAGGTTTATTTCTCTGTCTCCCACCCCTGTGGAGCTGAAGGAGTTTCGAGGTTTTTCCATAGGATGGGCCTGTGGAACCAGGAAAGAACTTTACACGTGCTCTTACAAAGACTTGGAAAACAGCGGCCCATGGCTCCAAAATCACTAAGAGCAGAAACATGGAGTGTGGGACGTAGAGTAATATGTCAGGGACCAAAACTGTTTTGAGGGGCCACAAATGAAATGTATCCTAATAGATTGCTCCGGCATATCATGCCAGCCGTAGTGATAGGTTGTCAGCCTGAATACTCTGTCTCTGCTCTTCACAGAGTAAGCTTGCTTGGTTTGAGCCTGCCTGTTTGGTGTATTTTCTAAAACTCCAAGGGAACAGCGCTGCATAGCCCAGTTGACAAGCTTTGAGTCCCCTGGGCTGAGTACTTTGTTCTGTAGCCACAAACACCAACCCTTAATCCTTTCTGGTTGTCTGAGAGGGAGAGAATTGACCAGTCCTGTGGAAATTTGTCTCCAGTTTCAGAAACACCATTCAAAGGGCATGCACATCTTTTTATCCATGTAGGACACAGGGGACTGTGGCGGTTAGAGTCACGGCACCTTATATTGATGTCTGTGTCCTTACATGAATGGAAGCGGTCACGCTGGTGGGAAGGCAGCATGCAGGGGGAGCTCAGCAGCTAATGTTGGCCCTCAGTGGGGAGGAGAGAGGAGAGCCAGGCTCACAGGGGTGGCGTGAGGTTTATTATGCCTCCACAAAGGGACTTGGAAATGGAGTGTACAGAGGGGGAGCGTGCCAGTTTCTAGAACCCCACAGACGGCTTCCGGCTTCTCATCCTTGCAGTCGGGACTCTCCCAGGCACGTCTCCCCAGGAGATGGGAATACTGCATTGCAATTTAGTGCTGCAGAGGAGAGGGGTGCTGGGCCTGGGCCTGTGGCAAAGCGTCTCCCCGGAGAGGGCAGCCCACCCAGGGAGAGGCAGGTCTGGTTGCTCTTGAGCCTGCAGACCAAGCACCTTTCCTGCTCTGTGAGTCATCAGGTTCTGGTGACAATGGTGGGGTTCTGGGGCCAGTACTGTCTAGACTCGGCAGACCGTGCTGGGGGCACTTCTGTCGCTTCCAAGCTGTGTGACCGGGCATTTGCCCTCCCAGAACCTCATTTGCTACATCTGTGTTAGGTGAAAAGCAACACCCAGGTGAGATAGTCCTGTGTCTGTTCTCACTAAAAGATTAGTGTCCCCTCATGTCAGACGAACTAAAACCAGCACAGAATCATGCAGTGCAGGGTAAGGAAGTCCAGTGACCTGATTGCTTCCATAAAAGTGGTTGTGATGTTTTTTGGGAATGTTGGATCAATTTTCCAGAAAGCGTTTGTCATCGTCATTTTGGTGCTCCTTATCCATGGGTACTATGAGCCCCTTCGTGTCCCCTTTGTGGTCTGGCCACTGGGAGTCCCAGCACCATTGATTCTTACCACGAGTTCTCATGAAAGTCCAGTAAAAACTGGGGATGTGCTGGATACATGATGTGTCCAATAAGTGTTGATTCAGTCTGAATTCACATCTTTTCAATGTCTTTGTTTTCCCTTGAAGGAGAAATAGAGGCCAGGGAAGGCAGAGGAGGTAGAGAGGGCTGAAGATGTGTCCGGGGTGGGGTTTGGGGAGAATTCGAACCCTCTGTTCCTCCGGGAGGAAGTGAAACTTGTCACAGTCCTAATCAGTATTAAGGACAAAGGTCTTAGAGGCTGGGGAGGCAGCAGCGAATGCAGCTGTGTTTGCCCGGAGTTCTCTCTGTACCTGCTTTGGGCCCACCTGGCAGCGTCCTCACCTGTGTTGCGTCTCACAGCTGAGGGATGATTTGGAAGATGGCCAGATAGTGGCACAGCAGGGCTGAAGGGGGTGATGCTGAGGGGAACATGGGCTGTCCTGGCCTCATAGTGAAAAGTGCTCCAGGGCATTGCCTGTGACTCTAGAAAAGGGGTCTTTTGGATTTTTGACCATAAACAAAGGCGCTTTCATCAGGAAATCAGGGACTCTATCTCTGCTACGGCTGTGTTCTGGCCCCGTGGCTGTGGGTGGTGGGCATTTGGGCCAGGAATAGCACAGGAAACCTGATTAGGCTGACCTCAACCCTCACGGACTCGCTTATTTTGTATACCCATGCCAGGGGCTGGGCAAGGCCTGTGGGGACCCAAGTGGGAGAGCCCCCCCCAGTTGCTCTGGTTGGGAGGTGAGTAAAGTGTGAAGGGAGTCACAGGGAAGGCAAGGGGTCCGGGGAGGTGTGTGGAGGTTGAGGGAGGGTTCTGGGTAAGGTCCTTCCGTAGGGGTGGGGTTTGCTTTGTTTGGAGAAGAGCGCATTGCAATCTGGGTGGCTGCAGTAGAGTGCAGTGGAGAGACAGGGAACATGGGGCCAGGTCTAGACTCTTCCCCCTTAGACCTTGACCAGTAGGTGACAAAGTGGATCTCAGACCTTTCTGAACCATGACATTGGCAGGGCTTGCCAGAGCAGGGCCAGAAAAGAGTCTGGAACACCTCTCAGACATCCGTCTTGGGGATGGGGTACTGCTAATGACATAGGGCCTATGGGATGGGGAAGAGCCCCTGCCCAGAGTACCAGCCAGGCTGCATTACTTATCCACCGAGTCAGCCAGTATTTGACGTGCTTCCCAGAGCTGTGGAGATACTGGCCCCAGACCCTGTCCATGCTATCCGGGAGCTGCTGGTTCTGCTGGGGAAGCTGAGCCCTTGACCCTAGTGTTCTGTTTCCCCTCTGCTCATGGTGACTCTGGTGTCCCAGGCCTGGAATCCCCACCCTCCTTCCTGCAGGGCCCACATGGCCTGAAGCCTCTCCAGTGCCCTGACCCACAGAAGCCCCTTCTCACCTGGAGCATCTGCTGTCCTGGGTTCTCATCTGGGTTTTGCTCAGTATCTTTTGCAAATTCTTCCTGAGTGTGAGCTGGCTTGGTCGCAGGATGTGCAGCTCCTTGAGGGCGGGGACCACAAGATGAGTGACCTCCATGGAGGGGCCCATGAAATGTTGGCTGAATTAAGGAGTGAAGAATCTAAGTCCCTTGAAAGAAAGAAAAGACAGACTTAAGATAGTGACAGCTGTGCTGGTAATGCTGGCCCTTGCCGGTCCTGGGAGAGTTCCGCACTGCTCCAGGCTGGAAGGCCCCCTCGGGCCCCTTCTCACCTCTTGGACTCTTGGGGCACTCTCTGCTGTCTGAGGCTCAGGCCTCAGTTTCTGTCCTGTGTAGACAAGCTGTGGTTATGTGTATTTCTGTGTGCATTTACCTGCTTTGCCTGTCCCATTTCTCTGTGGCCCCACTCAAACTGGCCAAAAAGAAGGCATGCCTCCTACAGGTGGGGGCTGAGTGCTGAGGGTTCCCAACCTCTAGCAGCCCCCTGTTGATGTCAGGACTTTGGGGACCCACATTAGTACACCAGGCATCGTGCAGGAAGTAGAGAGCCGTGGGACAAACGGACAACCTGATTTTCCAAGCCCTCCATCTCACTTGGAATAAAAGTGGATTTCCTCTAGCTGCCTGAGGACCTGGCCTGCCTCCCCCTGAGGGCCGGTCTCTCTGCCCTCAGCTCCTCCCACTCTCCGGGCACCCACGCTCCCCAGCCCCCAGCGTGGTGTGGGCACACTGCAGGTCTCTGCGCTTAACCCTCTTTGCTTGGACCTTCTTTGCACAGCTGTGCACGTGGCCTGTCCCATCTTTGGCCTGAGGGCTGCCCACTCTGAGAAACCCTCCCTGTTTAAAATTGCATCCCTGTAGCACTTCCTTCCCTGTTCTGTGTGCCTCCATGGCATGCATCACTGTCTGACAACTGTAATCTTTACCTGTTTCTGTGTTCTATCTCCCCCCAAATGTAAGGTCTGTTAAGACATGTCTTTCCCCATCTTCAGGGCGTAGGTAGTGCCTGGCTTATAGGTGTGCTGGGTGTTTATGTATTGAAGAAAGTTGCATAGTGTGTCTGCATTTCAGCTGTCCTGTCTTTGTAAGGGCTGGTAAAGTCCTGAGGTGTAGGGACCATGGTCTGCGTGTGCCCTGGTGCTCCGTGAAGTACAGGTAATAATACATTGTTGAATACAGGGTGGAATTCCCAACTGAACATTCAGTGGCTGGGTTCTAAAGTCAGCTGGTGGAGCAGACACCTCATGGTCCACCTGCCCTAGAGAGGCCTTGAGTTGTCTGTGAGCTCAGAGGCTTGTAGGAACTGGGCTCCTGACGAGGCCGCGCGTGCTCCCACGTTCTGGTCCTCCCCAGCTCGGCCTTCACTGAGGGAAAAGCAGGGGGACTGGTCAGCTCACTTGAGTTGTTTCTCTTTCAGTTCTGGGTGAG